TCCGAATCCCCGTGCAATGTGACAAGGATAACTTCTGTTGACTAGATAGTTTCAATCACAGGTTTTGATTACTGTTTGCTCATAGTAATACACTTCTCCCCCAAAATAATTCAGAACTTTAACTGGCATTTCGAGTTTTAGGTCTATTCTCTATCTGTCGGCCTTTACGTATCTTGACCTTGCATGTGTGTCACGTGTGAATTAGTTGAGGTTTACAAGTAAGTAATCTCAGTTGCCAGCACATGAGAACATTTTCATGACCTCCTCCTCCCACATAAACTACCTAAAGAGTAAAGTAAATTATGCTTTTGACTAGTTGCCCAGGATAATTCTTCACTGGGTCTGGAAGAGTGGACAAGGGTCTAACTGAATGGCTGATGAGTTGCCACTACCAGATCCCAAAAAAACTAGAAATAATTTGGTCTGGGTCTAAATGCTAGTATCATGCTGCCAAGTCTCCTTCTGAAAAGCATAAAAGCGAAATATCCCACTCCTGCAAGCAAACCAACCACAAGAGTGGTGCCAAGAACTTTTGGGGCCCTTTTCTTGGCCACCCGGAATGCTGTTGGCAGCACTGCAGAGATTAATATATTGTTGACATGTCCTAAAACCTTGTTAAATGTTTTCCTCTTCAATACACGCTCATAATAGGTTTCCAAGTTTGGTCGCTTTCCATTTCCCCAGTTTCTCCTCGCAAACCCCAGGAACTTCAGTCGATGCAATGTGACAGCAAGGGAGACGTCTGCCAGGGTGAAGGATTCTCCACAGAGCCAAGGCTGGTGGCCCTCTTCTAATCAGAGAAAGGAACATGGAGAATTAAGGGCAAGCACCGTACAGACAGGCTGGTGCCATCAGTGGTCTCAGCCTGAAAGGCAAGCATGAGCACAGCAAAATGTACCCTGAAGCCCATGGTATGTTTTCTTGATAACTGCACTCAGCAAGTAATATGCTTAAGAAAAAAAGTCCATGTAAATGTACCCCAAGTTAAAAGAGACTTGCTTAATTAGTCTGCCAGCCACCCAGGTCCCTCTGTAAGATGGGAGCCCGTGAAGCTCAAAGTCTGTCTATCATTTCGTAAAGGACTCTGATGAGTTGAGAATCCCTTAGAAAAAGGAATTCACAGATACTTTCTTCTGGTTTAGAAAAATAAGAGGTGTGCTTTAGGAAAATCCATATAGTTACGGTTGAATATGATTCCGTGGCTACCACTCTTAGTAACTGCTTTAAAGAGGAGCGGTTATGAGACAGGTTTTAAGTAACAAGGTCTTCAATTCCATTGTCAGTTAGAGTAGCTCACATGGTTTGCATGTATAGACCTAGGCTATGGCTTAATCCTAAAGAGGTCACAGGTACAATACCTGGACACTCACCAGCCAGATACACAGATGCTGGACCTCACTCTAGGCTTTAGATCGGAAGTTGCTTCCCTGCTTAAAGAAAAAACTAGAAGGAGCATTCTAGCAGATTCTACAAGTCATTCAATCCAATTACAATTTGTAAAATGGGTTAGGTAAGGATCTCCCAACCAGTTTAAATTGTGCAGAAAAATCCTCCACTAGTCATATTCCACACAGATGCAGACTGAGTAACAATTAGACCCCCAGGTTTGGCTGAGTTCAGTATCATTGTTGCTAACATCATTAAAACCACCCATGAATGACAACAACCACAAGCAAATTACAGAAGGGTTTTGGTGAGATGTCAGACTGCTTCCATACACACTGGTGTTGAACAGAGAAAAAGAATACAAATCAGAACCTACCCGGGGTTTCTTCATTTCTTCTTTGCAACTCAGTTTCAACCTGATCCAAGACCTTCTCCAACTCATCAAGAATTTTCTTCAAATATTTGACATTGTCATGATCAAGGAGCTTTGACTAATTAATGACAAAAAAGTACACAAATAGGTTATTTGTGCTTATAAAAAAATCTAGATACAGCAAAGTAGATATAAACTCTCATAGAGTTGAAACCTATTTTAGACAATGGTAAGAAATAGAATAATTTTGTTAAAACAAGTGCAAAGTCGAGGGGAAATAGTCCAGGTGTGGAAATTCCCCAGAAGCAGACCCACTCGCCACGGGAAGCTTCTGTGAAACCAGATGACCAGATGGGGCAAAGAGGGGACATGAAGGGCCACCTGCCATGCCCAGTTTGAAAATGGAATTTCAGCATCCCGAATAAATGAGTACCTGCAAGGTCAGGGGTGAGGAGGAAGTGTGAGCACAGTGGGTTACAGAGCAAGTGGACAGCCAGGACAGGGACTGTGTGAGCAGGCTTTCATTTCTTCCAGCTGCTTGGTTAGCTAAGAATAAAGGAAGCTGGGGGAGAGCTGGGAGTGTTACTGTTTGCTACATTTCTAACTGAGGAGAAGCTTTATTTGGCCATGGGGAAAGATCAACAGACAAAGGCTGACCACCTCTGGGCTCCTGGGGCACAGCAAGTCAGTGCCACACGTGGGGGCTCAGGTCTAGCAAGGCCTGAAAGTGGTTTAATACCTCAATGACAGATTCCTACAATATTTTACTAACTTGCTTTTATGTTTTATAACTTTCCCTAGCTAGCAGCAAGCTCAATATCTGCCTTTTAGGCACCTGATGACAAGTTTGAATATCAAATCTTATTTTAAAAAGTTTTCTAAAAGCAGGACATAAGCCAGAGGTCATGTGTGCTGGTGAACAGCAATATCTAACTGAAGACCCCTCCAAGTGTGCTTTGCAACAAGGACATTTAACACAGCAGCCTGTGTCGACTTAGGGCAGCTGGGCCACTTACTTTAAGTCGCTTCTGCTTTGCGATGTACGCCTCCTGTAAATCTGGGTTTTCTTCAGCAAGTTTCTTCAGTTCAGATTCTGTGTTACCAATTTGGCCTGATAATGAAACATTTTTTTAAACAGAAAATTAACTTCTCTTTCTATACCCAAAACAAGGAGAAACTGGGAAACTTGATAAGAGCAAGAGCTCTGGGGCACATGCCCTGCTTCCACCTAGGTCTTACCCTGTCTGTGCCTCAGTTTCCTCACTCTTCAAAGACAACTATAAGAGTGTCTGCCATGCAGGGTGAGAACTAAATGAGAAGCTCTGTGGGAGCTTTCAAGTTTTCTATAATGAAAGGAAGGAAAAGCCTTCGTTTAAAAAAAAAACACCTATAGGTGATACAGTTGCAGTCAGAACACCTGTTTCAAATCATAGAATGAGTATAATGAAGAGAAGGAGGATGGAGAGAAGCAGGACAGGAGAAGGGAGAGGAGGGAAAGGGAGGGATGAATGGGAAGGGAGAGGAAGGGAGGGGAGGGGAGAGAAGGGAGAGGAGGAAAAGGGAGGGATGAATGGGAAGCAAGAGGAAGGGAGGGGAAAGAAGGGGGAAAGGGGGGAGGGGGGAAGAGAGAGGAGAAAAAGGGAAGGGTGAAGGGAAGGGAGAGGAAGGGAAGGGAAGGAAAGGGAGGGGAAGGAAAGAGGAAGGGAGGGGAAAGGAAAGGAATGGAGGGGAAGGGAAGGGAGGAGGAA